GGTTTTATACTATGCGCTTCATTTATATCTCATTTAATCCTTAAAACAGGCATAAACAATACTTTTTACTTCTCATTTAATTGACAAAGACAGCAAGAATTTAGACAGGTTTAGGGGCACGTTCAAAGTCACACGCAACAAGTCAAGTGTATGAACAAAGATTGTAACCAAGATACTCTGACTCCAGATTCCAGTTAGACTTTTACTGAAATTTCCAGAAATAAATTAACAATATGTTGTAAAATTTTTAAAAATTGTTAAATGTAGGGGCGCCTGGGTGGCTCAGTGAGTTAGGCCTCTGCCTTCAGCTCAGGTCGTGATCTCAGGGTCCTGGGATCCAGCCCTGCATCAGGCTCTCTGCTCAGCAGAGAGCCTGCTTCCCCCTCTCTCTCTGCCTGCCTCTCTGCCTACTTGTGATCTCTCTCTGTCAAATAAATAAAATCTTTTAAAAATTTGTTAAATGTAAAACTACATCTTTTTTAAAAAAAGTATGCATACACATATTTGTATAGAGGTAAGAAGTATGAAGGAATATATTCTAAAATACAATGTCTGCACATGAAAACTGTGGAGTTTTTAAATTTTTATTTATTTATTTGACAGAAAGAGAGCACAAGCAGGCAGAGTAGCAGGCAGAGGGAGAAGCCAGCTCCCCGCTGAGCAAGAAACCCAATGTGGGGCTTGATGCCAGACCCTGGGATCATGACCTGAGCCAAAGGCAGTCACCCAACCGAGTCACCCAGGTGCTCCGGATTTTTATTTTATCTGTATTTCTCTTTCCAGCATTTTTGGCAGTGAGCATGTATTATTTTTAGGGTGAGAAAGAAACAATAAGCTCTTTTAAAACTACAGAAATAAAATTATTTTAAGATACGTATTTTCTGCCTATTTCTTTGAAAAGCTTTATTTCAATTAGTTATAGCTCTTCTCATTCAAAAATGGATTTAAATTACTAAAAGATGGTTTGATCTCTTCTCAATGAAAAAGTTCACTTTTTGTATCTTTGCTAACTTCACAGTTTAAATTTAGGCATATTCCATCGGCTAAGCAGCCAGGAATCACAAATGTGTACCATCTTTCACAGCATAAAATGTGTAAGGGTTCTGTGAGCCCAGTTAAGCCTGCCTACGGTACACAAAATACCTTCACCATCTCTACCAACATCATGTACCCCTAACTCTCCATCCAGCTGATGATAAATCTCCTAAAATTGAATCTTCTTGATACAAACTTCTTGAACTTCAGTTTTAAAGGGTTTAATACTGTTTCCAACAGGCCAAGTCAGACTTCTGTTTCGAACAACCGGTAGGATTCCTCCAGATGTAAGCTAGGATGCAATAGGAAGTTACCCAAGTAAGAGGCTGGAAAGCTATCAGAAGAGAGGAAGGAAAGGGACAAAGGCAGGGAAGGAGTAGGTTTTGTTTTATAGAACCGACAATTCCAGCCAAGGAGACATGATGTTTCACCTGGGAGCCCCTTGCCAGGTGTGTCTCCCTGACAGCCCCTTATGGGAGCCCCTTGCTAGGTGGGTCTCCCTGAAGCCCCTCTGAGCTGTCCTGAAGTTACCTTTAGCACATGATAACGCCCAGATCCCCTAGAGGCTGAGTTTCCCACCATTTTTTTGAACATACAATGTGTGCACTAGCATGCTGACACGCTGGGCCTGAGCGACTGACTTCAATTGCTCCCTGCCCCGCCCCCTAACACATTGAATAAAAGCTTCCCTATACTAACCCCACAGAGAGCCACCTGTCCCCTTACGTTAAGAAGTAATAAAGTCCTTTGTTTTCAACAGTTCCTTGAATTGTGTTCAACTTGATGCATCTCAAGTGGCAAACCCCTTGAGTTTGGTTACATGGACACTGTCATATTGGTAAATAACATTTCCATGCATCTGGCTGGTCAAACCAGAAACATCTCTTTCCATCATCCATCATATCCAATCTCTCATTAAATTCTACTCCTTGTACAAAACAAAACAAACCAAAAAAACCCCTAACTCAGTGGGGCGCCTGGGTGGCTCAGTTGGTGAAGCGGCTGCCTTTAGCTCAGGTCATGAACCCAGGGTCCTGGGATGGAGCCCCACATCTGGCTCCTTGCTCAGCAGGAAGCCTGCTTCTATCCTTCTACCTGCTACTCCACCTGCTTCTGCTCTCTCTGTCAAATAAATTAAAATTCTTTAAAAAATAAATAAATAAATGAAACCTAACTCATCCCCTTCTTTCCATAACCATTGCCCCCACTTTAGTGGTGCTTGATTCCCCTCCAGAATTACTGCAATAACATCCTTTACTGAAAACACCTCCGCTCTTGCCCTTCTAATTCTCCACAGAAGCCAGAGTGATCTACTGAAAAGGTAAATCTGATCATGGCATTCTGTGCTTAAAGACATCCAATGGTTCCCAATACACTTAAAATGAAATCCAAAGTCCCGTCTTATTAGGGGTGCTTGGGTGGCTCAGTTGGATAGGCAGACAGTTAAGCATCTGCCTTCAGCTCAGGTCATGATCCCAGGGTCTTGGGATGGAGCCCTGGATTGGATCAAGCCCTGCCTCCAATGGCCGGGCTCCCTACTCAACTCCCTGCTTAGGGGGTGTCTGCTTCTCTTTCTTCCTCTGTCCCTCCCCCTCTCTCTCACTCTTTCTCAAATAAATATATAAAATCTTTTTTTAAAAAAAAAAAAAGGTAAGTTACCTTATTATAACTTCCTCTATGATTTGCCTCACTGCTTCTCCCTCACCTCATTTCTGTCATCACACCATTTCATCACTACACACTAACCACCAATTATTCACTAGCCACACTGGCCTTATTTTTGTTCCTCCAATCAGCTAAGTTCTTCCTTATCTCAGGACCTGCAGATATCCTTGCAGATACTTGGGATAACTGTTTACTTCCATTCACTCTTTACCTGGCTAACTCCCATTCCATTTTTCTTCATATGTCCATCAAGATTCCACATTTGTTTTCTCTACCTGACTGGCACATTACTGATGCTCAATAAATAACTAATCACTTCATATTCAATTATCCAGCCAGTACTAGCCAAAAACAAAACAAACAAACAAACAAAAAACCAAGAGAGTGGGGTTACACAAAGGAACATAATTACACGTTCCTGAAACTTAAAAAGTGTTAAAATTATTTTAAAATCTAAATATGTCCAAAACCTGTTTATTTGCAAAACTGAGAACTCAAAAAAAAAAAACAAAAAACAAAAACAAACAAACAAACAAAAAACCTATCAAAATGTTGCCATCCAAAAGAGATGATTAAATGAACCAAGGACAAAACATTGTCACAAGTGATTACTCCTGAAAGAAGATAATTAAGAACCCTGGGAATCTTTTTTTTCTGCCCTATCTTTTGCTTTATGAAAAAAAATGGGACAGGGGCTAAACAAAAATAGTAACGCAAGCAGTCAATAACTTAAAAATGTATTTATCAGTCTTTTCTGGCCGAAAGAAAGAAAAAAAAAAGCAAGCCAGCCAGCAAGCATTCGTGGTACTCAAATTATTACAACACGTTTGAGTTAAATTCCATTTAAAAAGGAAAGAAAGAATTGGGTATCGCGGTTGTTACAGTAAATCTCCAGAGAGGTGATAAGATAGAAAACATTACTTGCTCCCTTTACATCTAAGGCAAAGGCGTTTCCATCCTCACTCCGCACCCCCCACCTCCCACCCCAGAATGTCCGGCGCTGAACAATGCCTAATGGATTCTCTAGTAAAAATTTCACGCTATCAACTCGATCAACCAAGGTCTCCAACATATCGATCTCTACTACAGCGTCCGCCTTCTACTCTCAGCGTAGCCGCTGATCCCGTCTCAATCCTAGGACTCGCTTTGAGTAGATCGCTTCCCTCCCAGGATCCCAAACGAGAAACAGCTTCTACAGAACCAAACGGCAAACAGCCGCGGGCAAGAAGGGAGGAAAAAAGGACCGATGCCGGACTCACCTGGGGCTGCACGGTACTCGACAGGGAAAACATCTCCTCCGGGCTCTCAGCTACCTCGCCAGCCTGCCGAAAGTGCTCCTCTGTCCACGGCTCGGCGGGGAGGTGCTGAGCCCTTCTTTCCTTTTCTTTCCCCCTCTCCCCTTAGCCCTTACTCTCCCTAGAAACAGAAAATGGCTTCCCTTTCTCACAGCTGCTGCAACGACAATCTGCCCCGGAAGCTAAGGTTCCAACGCACCAGTACTTCCGGGGGACGGGTGGGCAATGCTCGGGGCGGACGTCTGCGGCTTCACTTTTCCCGGACTGACGTATCTCCTGCCGCAGCTGAGGTCCCCTGGCCCCTAAACGTGATGTTCACGTTGAATGATACAAGTGCGGGATCCGCAAGCTCTCTGGCCATATTTCTTCCTTAAGGGGCGACGGCATCGAACCTCTTCAATCTTTCTTTGTAAACCGAATTTACCAAACCTTCCAATATATTCTCTTTTTCCGACGGGGCCGTAAGGTACGATAAACTCTTTTGCTACAGTTTGGTGCTCTTTATCTTCCCCACAATAAATCGAAAATTCTTCCTGTTGGTTCTAATCCGCTTCAGTCCGGCAAGTTACATCGTGTTTGTATGTCGGATGACAGGGCCAGCCACCGGCTTCCTGCTCATCCAGTTTCTCCACATTCTCTGATTTGCACTAGCCAAACCGAACTGGCTGACATTTCCCGCCAGGGTGCGAGGTCGCGAAGGAGTAAAAACCAAACAAAGCAAAAGTGAGGCGAGGGCAGGGTCCCGTCAACCTCGATTGGAGGTCGGTCGAAACCTCAGGTCTGCGATCGAGATTCCAGTCCGAGTAGCCCCTTTTGCTTGCAGGCCAAAGACTGTCTGTACCTCCCCCATTATTACAAATGAAGTGATTGGGTCGCAGTCCCCGCCCTCGAAGAGTCTGCCGTTGGTTGGAGAATTTCCCAAGGTCTCCGCCGGGGCCTACAAACCAGAGATGACAGGGGCGGGGCTCTTCTGGGGGCGGGGCTGCGCTGGGCTCCGCGCGGCGAGCGCCACAACGCGGTGGCGTCACTGACGGCCGAATGCGTGGGCGGGGTCTTACTTTGAACTCAGTTGGCGGGAGTTGTGGCTCCGAAAGGAACCTTGGCTGATGCTGCAGGCTTCTATCCGGACTGGTTTACGATGGAGCCCACTGCGGGAAGCGAGAAGGAGAGTGACGGAGACGCGCTTACAGGGGAGTGCGGGAATAGGATCCCAGTGCCACGACCTCCCTCCATTGAGGAATTCACCATAGTGAAGCCCATTAGCCGTGGCGCCTTTGGGAAGGTGT